TCTATAGAAAAAGTTGTCCTTGTTAAGGCAACTCTTCTATAGAAAAATTTGTCCTGTTTAGGCAATTTTTCTATAGAAAAAGTTGTCCTTGTTAAGGCAACTTTTCTATAGAAAAAGTTGTCCTAGTTAAGACAACTTTTCTAAAGAAAAAGTTTTCCTTGTTATGGTAAATTTCCTATAGAAAAAGTTGTCTTCGCTACGACAACATTTCAATAGAAAAGGTTGTCCTTGTCAAGGCAACTTTTCTGAAGAAAAAGATGTTCTATATAAAAAGTTATCCTTGTTAAGACAACTTTTCTATAGAAAAAGTTGTGCTTGTTAAGGCAACTTTTCTATAGAAAAAGTTGTCCTTGTTAAGGCAACTTTCCTATAGAAAAAGTTGTCCTTGTTAAGGCAACTTTTCTATAGAAATAGCTGTCCTTGTTAAGGCAACCTTTCTACTGAAAAGTTGTCCTTGTTAAGGCAACTTTTCTATAGAAAAAGTTGTCCTTGTTAAGGAAACTTTTCTATGGAAAAAGTTATCCTTGTTAAGGAAACTTTTCTATAGAAAAAGTTGTCCTTGTTGAGGCAACTTTTCTATAGAAAAAGTTGTCCTTGTTGAGGCAACTTTTCTATAGAAAAAGTTGTCCTTGTTGAGGCAACTTTTCTATAGAAAAAGTTGTCCTTGTTAAGGCAACTTTTCTATAGAAAATGTTGTCTTTTTTAGGGCCACTCTTCTACAGAAAACGTAGTCCTTGTTAAGGCAACTTTTCTATAGAAAAAGTTGCCCTGGTTAAGTCATCTTTAAAGCTATTTTATTTCAGATAATTTATTGTTTTATTTCTTTATTATAAACAAACTTTAAATGTTGTTATTTCTTTGCCAGATTTTTTTTATATATATTTTGTTTAACAATTTCTACTAAATTGCTTTCTTTAAAAGAAATAAAAGAAAAATAAAGAGAATTGTTGCAACTGACACTATATAAATTGTAAATTCAAATATATAAAAAGCTCAGAAAATAGAAATAAAAGGGGGATTATTTTTATTTAAAAAAACAAATTTAACAAACGCCTTACAATATGCTTTAAATAAAAGAACAATAAAAACATTTAAAAAAAAGCTTTATCTAGAAAATACTCTCTATAAAAATATTTATTTAGAAAAAACTCTTTCTACTCTCACACATTATAATTGTTATCAACTTATTGCCATTTTTTATTAATGAAATACTAAACGAACAAAGAAAAACTTACCGACTTCAGCCGCTACAGTTGTTATACTACTGTTGTCATACCAATCATCGCCACGTTCACTCACTCCCCCATCTAGGCCACAAGAACGCCATTTACTGGACCAAAAGCCACCCTTAAAACACTGGGAACAACAACATATAGAGAAACCAATTATTAATATAAACCAAGCCAAGATCATCATGACTACGGTAGTGGTATTGTCAAAAGGATTATTGAGATCACCACCCACTGCATATAAAAGTAATTGATCATCATTGTGTATCATTTGAGCATAAGTTTCATTCGTCATCATTTATTTAAAGAATTTTTTTAAATACGTTTAGTAAAAGTCACGTTTAATTAGAGAATAAGATCATTTATTAAAATCATTTGTTTTTGTTTGCTTTCGTTTTTTATCTATTTTTAACAAATTGCGTTTGATAAGCGCTTTAAATGCTTTTTTACCGTTTTTGTTTAAACTTTAAAGGGAGACTGCTTGAATGAAAACAAAAAAAAATAACAATAATAATTCCGAAAAATAATTAAGTGAGAAAAAAATAACTCAGTTATTGTTATTGCTACTGGTTACTTATTATTGGACGGAGATCTTGTCTGTCTTTCAGTCAATCTTTTATCGTTTGTTTGTTTATGTCATTTATTTGTAGTTTGTTTACATTTGCTGTGTGTTTGTGTCGGTGTGTGGGAGAAGGGAAGAAAGATATTTAAATTTCTATGAGAGGGAGGCAAAACTTAAAGCTTTTATTAACTGCATTTATAAAAAAAGTTAAAAATTTTATTTAAAAATAAAGCTTTTTTTGTTTAGAAAATACTTAAATATGGGTGACTCCATAAGAAAACTTTCGAAAGAAACTTTTGTTAAGAAAACTTTTTAAAGAAACTTGTCTATAAGAAAGCTTTCAAGAAACTTCTCTATTAGAAAACTTTTTAAAGAAAACTTACTCTAAGAATAACTTTTCTATAAGAAAACTTTTCTAAAACAAAACTTTTTAGAGAAACTTTACTAAAAGAAGAGTTACCACAGAAACTTTTCTATAAAAAACTCTTTAAAGAAACTTTTCTATAAGAAGACTTTTTAAAGAAACTTTTCTATGAGAAAACTTTCTAAAGAAACTTTTCTATAAGAAATCTTACTAAAGAAACTTTTCTATAAGAAAACTTTCGACAGAAACTTTTCTATAAGAAAACTTTCTAAAGAAACTTTTCTATAAGAAAACTTACTAAAGAAACTTTTCTGCAAGAAAACTTTCTAAAGAAACTTTTCTACAAGAAACTTTCTAAAGAAACTTTTCTATAAGAAAACTTTCTAAAGAAACTTTTCTGTAAGAAAACTTTTCTAAAACAAAACTTTCTAAAGAAGCTTTACTAAAAGAAGAGATTCCACAGAAACTTTTCAATAAAAAAAACTCTTTAAAGAAACTTTTCTATAAGAAAACTTTCTAAAGAAACTTTTCTATAAGAAAACTTTCTAAAGAAACTTTTCTATAAGAAAACTTTCTAAAGAAACTTTTCTATAAGAAAACTTTCTAAAGAAACTTTTCTATAAGAAAACTTTCTAAAGAAACTTTTCTTAAAGAAAAGTTTTTTAAAGAAACTTGTTTATAAGAAAACTTTCTGAAGAAACACTTCTATAAGATAACTTTCTAAAGAAACGTTTATATAAGAAAACTTTTTAAAGAAACTTTTCTATAAAAAGGCTTTCTAACGAAGCTTTACTAAGAGAAAACTTTCTCCTGAAACTAATTTCAAATCTGCCCGACGCACACTATGAAAAATTTAATTTTTAATAAAATTATCAAAAATTTAATTACGTATTAAAAATTGTACTTTTCATTTAAATTTAACTAAACTTTTAACAAAAAAAATTAATATTTAAAAAAAAAATTTTCTTCAAAATTACATTTATTACCATTTGAAAACGTTTTCGTTATATATTAAGCCTATCAACGAAACTGTACGAGATTTAAAAACGGCCGAATGTAATTCCTGAATGCTGTTTCGTTTGCAAAATAGTATTTAAGCTTAAAAATGCTAGTACAACAACAAATACAACAAATTTTATGGTTTCTCTAAGGTGTATGATAAAATGAGAAGTGAATAGTAAGCACTGATTATTACTTAATAGTTATTTTACGGCGATAGTTGAATTGAAATGGATTTTTCAAAGCGGAATTTAAATGTAAGCTAGACTTGTTATATATCAATGGAAAGGTAATTGGATGTAGAACTTGAATATGTTTATATATTTTAAAAATTTTGTTGTTTTTAAGTAGTTTTAAAAAATTTTATTCATAAAACTTCTCCTTAGTCAGTTAGTAGTTAGTTAGTTAGTTAGTTAGTTAGTTAGTTAGTTAGTTAGTTAGTTATTATTTTAGTTGTTAGTTAGTTAGTTAGTTAGTTTAGTTAGTTAGTTAGTTAGTTTCAGTTTAGTTAGTTAGTTCGTTAGTTCGTTAGTTAGTTAGTTAGTTAGTTAGTTAGTTAGTTAGTTAGTTAGTTAGTTAGTTAGTTAGTTAGTTAGTTAGTTCGTTCGTTAAGTTCGTTCGTTCGTTCGTTCGTTCGTTAGTTCGTCGTTCGTTCGTTCGTTTCAGTTCGTTCGTTCGTTCGTTCGTTCGTTCGTTCGTTCGTTCGTTCGTTCAGTTCGTTCGTTGTTTCGTTCGTTCGTCGTTCGTTCGTTCGTTTCGTTAGTTCGTCTTCGTTCGTTCGTTCGTTCGTTCGTTCGTTCGTTCTTTCGTTCGTTCGTTCGTTCGTTCGTTCGTTCGTTCGTTGTTCGTTCGTTCGTTCGTTCGTTGTTCGTTCGTTCGTTCGTTCGTTCGTTCGTTCGTTTTCGTTCGTTCGTTCGTTCGTTCGTTCGTTCGTTCGTTCGTTCGTTCGTTCGTTCGTTCGTTCGTTCGTTCGTTCGTTAGTTCGTTCGTTCGTTTCGTTCGTTCGTTCGTTTCGTTCGTTCGTTCGTTCTTCGTTCTTCGTTCGTTCGTTCGTTCGTTTCGGTTTCTTCGTTCGTTAGTTAGTTGTTCGTTCGTTCTTCGTTCTTTCGTTCGTTCGTTCGTTCGTTCGCGTTCGTTCGTTCGTTCGTTCGTTCGTTCGTTCGTTCGTTCGTTCGTTTCGTTCGTTCGTTCGTTCGTTTCTTTCGTTCTTTCGTTCGTTCGTTCGTTCGTTCGTTCGTTCGTTCGTTCGTTCGTTCGTTGTCGTTCGTTCTTCGTTAGTCGTTTCGTTCGTTCGTTCGTTCGTTCGTTCGTTCGTTCGTTCGTTCGTTCGTTCGTTCGTTCTTCGTTCGTTCGTTCGTTCTTCGTTCGTTCGTTCGTTCGTTCGTTCGTTCGTTCGTTTCGTTTCGTTCGTTCGTTCTTCGTTCGTTCGTTCGTTCTTCGTTCGTTCGTTCGTTCGTTCGTTCGTTCGTCGTTCGTTCGTTCGTTCGTTCGTTTCGTTCGTTCGTTCGTTCGTTCGTTAGTTCGTTCTCGTTCGTTTCGTTTCGTTCGGCTGCCCGCTTCTGGCGCTCTTCTCCTCCGCGGCCCTTTTCTCCAGACCCCACCCGCTTTTTGTTAAGCACTTCCTCCCTTCGTTATTACATTTTAGAAAAGTTCAAGTTCGATAGTAGTTTTAGATGACCTCGATCATACATTACGAAATTTGATCATGAGTGTTTCACATATATTTTTACAACCCGAAAACATGTTTGAACACGTTTGTTGAGCATTATTGACACAAGTGTTTGTAATATCTATGTAATTCAAACTAATTCTTTAAAACAGTTGTTAAAGAATCTATATATAGTTTACTTTGGATTACAAGAACTTTAGTTTTCTTTAAAGCTGTTAAACTTCCGTTGTAATTCGAAAAATTTTTATTAGGAAAAAATGGATATTAGGAAAATTGCAGTTATATGCATAGGTTGGTTTTTTTAAATAAAATATTTGAATCATTATAATTTCAAACTTTTGTATTTTCCCCAGCACTTTCCCTTTTGCTTATGCTCAAGCTTTAGAAGATCAAAAAGCTGAGAGTAATACGGCAACCACCATAAGCCCTTTTGAAATCGAACATTATGAAAGTGGTACTGATATACCAAAAGAACCAGAAAGTTTTACAGCTACGACAGTAAGTCCCTTGATTAATGCTCCCGCATCATCAGACAAGCACTCTGAAGCAGCTCAACCTGAAGTGATGGCACCAATTGAAGGAGAACCCACTAAAATAGAGGAAATCAAAGAAATTTTTATTGATGAAAATGGCGTTGAAGTGAATTACGATAAAATTTATATTATTGTGAAAACTGTAGTGAAGAGGAGGGGGAGGAAAATGCCAATAATGATAATAAGAAATTGATTTTCTCTACAAGTGAAGAAGAACTTTCGGAATCAACTGATAATGGTAGTTATGAAACTGGAGATGGTGATGATCTTGGAGAAGAACCACTTTTTGATGATGAAGATGCTATTGATGAGTTAATTGGTTATGATGAAGAGATTCAGTATGATGATAATGATGACGATGATTTAAGGGAATATGATGAACCTTTATTGCTGGAAGAAGTATTAGCAGATGATATGAGTGGAGACAGTTACGAAGGTTCAGGATTGTAAAAAGGAACCTTCGATCATGGAATGAAATCTAAATTGAAAAATAAATAAAAATAAAATTAAATCAGATTTGTATCTGAACTTTCTTGAACATCACAGAGAGGATTTTTTAGATAAAGTTTTCTTCGTTGAAGCAACTTTTCCATACAAAACGTTGTTCTTGTTTCGGCAACTTTTCAATGGAAAAAGTTGTTTTTGTTGAAGCAGTTTTTAAAAAAAAAAGTTGTCTTTGCTGAACCAACTTTTCTATAGAAAAAGTTGTCTTTGTTCAAGCAATTTTTCTATACAAAAAGTTGTCTTTGTTGAAGCAACTTTTCTATAGAAAAGGTTGTTTTGTTAAAGCAACTTTTCTATAGAAAACGTTGTCTTTGTGGAAGCAAGTTTTCTATAGAAATAGTTGTCTCTGCGGAAGCAACTTTTCTATAGAAATAGTTGTCTTTGCGGAAGCAACATTTCTATAGAAATAGTTGTCTTTGCTGAAGCAACTTTTCTATAGAAAAAGTTGGCTTTGTAGAAGCAACTTTTCTATAGAAAAAGTTGGCTTTGTAGAAGCAACTTTTCTATAGAAAATGTTGACTTTGTGGAAGCAACTTTTTTATAGAAAATGTTGTCTTTGTTGAAGCAACTTTTCTATAAAAAAGTTGTCTTTGTTAAAGCAACTTTTATATAGAAATAGTTGTCTTTGCTGAAGCAACTTTTCTATAGTAAAAATTGTCTTTGCTGAAGCAATTTTTCTATAGAAAAGTTCTCTTTGTTTACGCAACTTTCTATAGATAAAGTTGTCTTTGTTGAAGCAACTTTTCTATAGAAAAACTTATCTTGTTTGTTGAAGCAACTTTGCTATGGAAAATGTAGTCTTTGTGGAAGCAACTTTGCTATGGAAAAAGTAGTCTTTGTTGAAGCAACTTTGCTATGGAAAAAGTTGTCTTCGTAGAAGCAACTTTCCGATAGAAAAAGTTGTCTTTGCTGAACAACTTTTGTATAGAAAAAGTTGCCTTTGTTAAAGCAACTTTTGTATAGAAAAAGTTGCCTTTGATTAGACAACTTTTCTACGGAAGAAGTTTCTATTGAAAAAGTCGTCATTTTTTGGCAACTTTGGTAAAGAAAAACGTGTTGATTTGGATATCTTTCCCTTGAAAAAAGTTGCCTCTGTTGAGACCCTCTCTTGCATAAAGATAATAATTCCTTCAAAAAATTGTATTTCTCTACAAACATTCTTTATCATCATCAACAGTTTTTGATTTACAATTATTTCTCTCAACAACAAATCAAATATTATTTAAGTCACTTAATCTTAACTGAAAATCTTCAAAAAAGAAAATTTTTTAAAAACAAAGTAAAGCAACTTTTATCATCATCATCATTTTAAATGCTTGTTATCCGACGAAATCTTTAACAAGTTGCTGTTATTTTCAACAACTTTTGGTTGCCTTTTGTGGTCAAAATCTTTAGGAAAGTACTCTTGTTGTTGGTTTGCTGAATGGTGGTTAAAAAAAACTGCACTTCAGTGCAGTCACTCATTCAGCCAGTCATTTGGATTGTAGCTTTTTCGTTGTTGTTGGCTGGTTTTTTAAAGTTGCTTGCCAACTACTTCATCACCTTTTACACACTTCACAAATTGTACTGTTCACTTGGACAAAGTTTTTCGTTTTGTTGGCTGCAGTTGAGATGACGTTCATGATGGAATTAATTCTCCAAAAAAATGTGGTGCTTCAAAGAAAAAATACATTTCAAGTGTTGGGGTTAAGTTACTTGAGTTTAAGCGCCACCACGTACTTGAACTAAAATCATTATAAAATGATTGGACATAAAAGTTTTTTTCCACGTTTACTTTTTCTTCAGTTCACATTTTAATGAAAAAGGGTTGTTGAGTGAAGTAATAGCTGAAACTGAAAAAAAGGAGATAAAAGTATGGTAATTATTGATTTGAGTGTTAAGAAGTTTGGTCGTTTTATAAAAAGTGATCTGTAAAGATTGCTGTAAAAAGGGAGAAGAAGAACTTTGAATTAACCCTTTGAGGAAGCTGTATTCAGTCTAGACTATAGACTAATCTATATTCTGGACTATACATTAATTTATAGTCTGGACTCTAGATTAATCTATAGTCTGCACTATAGATCAATCTATAAGCTGGACTATAGATCAGTCTATAGTTCTGACTATAGATCAGTTTATAGTCTGTACTATAGATCAGTCTATAGTCTGGACTATAGATCGGTCTATAGTCGGGACTATAGATCAGTGTATAGTCTGGACTATAGATCAGTCTATAGTCTGGACTATAGATCAGTCTATAGTCTGGACTATAGATCAGTCTATAGTCTGGACTATAGATCAGTCTATAGTCTGGACTATAGATCAGTCTATAGTCTGGACTATAGATCAGTCTATAGTCTGGACTATAGATCAGTCTATAGTCTGGACTATAGATCAGTCTATAGTCTGGACTATAGATCAGTCTATAGTCTGGACTATAGATCAGTTTATAGTCCTGGACTATAGATCAGTTTATAGTCTGTACAATAGATCAGTTTATAGTCTGTACTAAAGATCAGTCTATAGTCTGGACTATATATCAGACTATATTCTGGGCTACTGATCAGTCTATAGTCTGGGCTATAGATCAGTCTATAGTCTGGACTATAGATCATCTATAGTCTGGACTATTGATCAGTCTATAGTCTGGACTATAGATCAGTCTATAGTCTGGACTATATATCAGTCTATAGACTGGTCTATATATTATGCTATATTCTGGGCTATAGATCAGTATATAGTCTGGACTATAGATCAGTCTATAGTTATGACTATAGATTAGTTTATAGTCTGGGCTATAGATCAGTCTATAGTGTGGACTATAGATCAGTCTATAGTCTGGACTATATATCAGTCTATAGACTGGTCTATATATTATACTATATTCTGGGCTATAGATCAGTCTATAGTCTGTACTATAGATCAGTCTATAGTCTTGTCTATAGATCAGTCTATAGCCTAGACTCTAGATCTGTCTATAGTCTAGACTATAGATCAGTATATTATCTAGATCATAAATCAGTCTCTAGTCTGGACTATAGATCAGTCTATAGTCAGGAAAATAGATCAGACTATAGTCTGGACTAGAGATCAGTCTATAGTCCGGACTATAGAACATTCTATAGTCTAGACTATAGATCACTCTGAAGTCAGGACTATAGTCTGGACTATAGATCAGTCATTAATCCTGTCTATAGATCAGTCTATAGTCTTGTCTATAGATCAGTCTATAGTTTGGAGTATAGATCAGTCTATAGCCTGGACTATAGTTCAGTCTACAGTCTGGACTTGAGATCATTCTATAGTGTGAACTATAGATCATTCTATGGTGTGGAATATATATCAGTCTATAGTCTGGACTAAGGATCAGTCTATAGTCTGTACTATAGAACAGTCTATTGTCTGGACTATAGATCAGTCTATAGTCTGGAGTATAGATCAGTCTATAGTCTGGAGTATAGATCAGTCTATAGTCTGTAGTATAGATCAGTCTATAGTCTGGACTATAGATCAGTATGCAGTCTGGACTATAGATCATTCTATAGTGTGGAGTATAGATCAGTCTATAGTGTGAAGTCTGGAGTATAGATCAGTCTATAGTCTGGACTATAGTCTGAACTATAGATCAGTCTATAATCTGAACTATAGATTAGTCTATAGTCTGGACTATAGATCAGTCTATAGTCTGGACTATAAGTTAGTCTATATTGTGGACTATAGATCAGTCTATAGACTGGACTATAGATCAGTCTATAGTTCTGACTATAGATCAGTTTATAGACTGGACTATAGATCAGTCTATAGTTCTGACTATAGATCAGTCTATAGACTGGACTACAGATCAGTCTGTAGTCTGGACTATAGATCGGTCTATAGTCTTGACTATAGATCAGTCTATAGTCTTGACTATAGATCAGTCTATAGTCTTGACTATAGATGAGACTATATATGTCTATAGTCTACAGATCTGTCTATAGTATAGACTAAAGTCTGACTACAGATCAGTCTGGACTATAGTTATTCTATAGCCTGGACTATAGTTCAATCTATATTCTGGGCTATAGATCAATCTATAGTCTGGGCTATAGATCACTCTATAGTCTGGGCTATAGATCAGTCTATAGACTTGACTATATATGAGTCCGTAGTCTGGCTATAGATGAGTCTATAATGTCATAATTGTTGTTATTGTGTTTCTTAAGGAATCAGACCGTGAGAATATTATTTTTTATTTAATGATTACTGCTTCTTCCTTTCGTTTTCCGTTTTATAGCTATGTCTTCTCATAAAGAGTAAATCAAATTGTAAAAAAATCGTGTTTAAAAAACTATATTATATTTATGTATGTATATGTATAACACAATATTGTAAATGTATATGTGAATGTTTCAACTGATTTGCATATTTATTATGATTCTTTTATGGTTGAACAGTGATTTTATATTGTTCTTTATCGGGAATATAGGAGGGCTGAGCAAAGAGTTTTAGATTTGGGAATGTATGCTGATAGAACAGACTTGATATTATATCCGTAGTAATACTCTTAGATAAGGAGTCAAAGAAGACAGTTTTCCCAAAATTCTTTAAACAACCCTCGCTTAATTTGATTACTATAGAAATTATTCTAAGCATTTGCATACGATAACAGTGTTTTGATTGTTGCTTCTGTTGTTGTTGTTAAAATAACCCAACAAACCAATTGAATCCCTCGAATATATTCACATACCCACTTTTCTCTTAGAACCTAGAGGATTCTATTATGTTGTTGATGTTGTTCTTGTTAATTTTTTGCTTTAATCTTCTATATCTTTAAGGTGTAAGGATTTTATCCAGAATTTAGCAGTTAAACCCAATATTGTTCTCTCGTACTCATCAAAAATTTAAAATCATAATCATTATTTTTCATCTTTTATTATTTTCTTTTCTACACATCATCTGCATATAAAGTACTTGATTTTGATTCTTTACTCGATTTATTTT